CTGAAGGGCATCTAAACAGGTGTGAGAGGCCCGCTGCTTGCCCAAGGATGGTCCTCATCTCCACCCCATGGCTTTTCCCATGTGGTCAGTGTGATTTGAGAAATGGCAGTTGGTTGGCCCATAGTCACAGTTTTAAAGACAAAGATCATTCTTTTTTAAAAAATATATATTTTATTGATTTTTTACGGAGAGGGAAAGAGAGTTAGAACCATCGATGAGAGAAACATCGATCAGCTGCTTCCTGCACACCCCCAACTGGGGATGTGCCCGCAACCAAGGTACATGCCCTTGACCAGAATCGAACCTGGGACCTTTCAGTCCACAGGCCAACGCTCTATCCACTGAGCCAAACCGGATAGGGCCAAAGAGCATTCTTTAAAATCTGCTGTTCTGATGGAAACAGGAATCAAAACTGACAGGGAAAGCAAATTTGGAGGCCCGTCCCCATTTCAAATTCTGTAAGAGCACAGGCGCTGGAGCCAACCCTGAGCTGTGTGACCCTGGGTATGTTACTAAACTCACTTAGCTTCAGTTTTCTCCTCTGCAGAATAGAGATCATAACAATTATATCCACTTCCAGAATTGTGAGACTAAACAGGTGCTTATACCTGAAGCGCTTAGAACAGTGCCTGGCCATAAGTTGTGTGTTTGTATGTTAGCTAGCATTACTATTATTGTTATTATAAAAATTGAGGAGAATGCTGACTTGTTACAATAAGGAGACTGTAGTTAACCTGGTCCCTATGCCCTGAAACACTCCCCCCTCCCCAAGTGATAAATGTGTGGGATGTGGCTTTGCAGCATAAACCAAAAGAGAGATTTAGGCTCTTTTATGCTTATACTGAACAGTATGGACCAAGTGGATGTTGCAGTTTGAAGAAGCAGTGGCCTGTGCATCTCCTCCCTCTAGGTTGCATGGTTTCACTAGGCTTCTTGTTGCAAAGCTGTCCTTAGCATCCTCAGGCTATTTCCCAAAACCAGTCCTGGATGACTGCTTTCATCTACAAATTGAGATTAATTTTCCTCAGTTAAGGGCAACAGTACTTGTGTCTTACTCCAACCCCATTGCATGTGAGTGTAAAACTGAAGCATTTAGGTGTGCCACTTGCTAATTTCCAAGACCGGGCCCTCCTTTCCTTTCTAGCCTTACCTGGTTTCCTCCCTCAGTGCTGAGCTGTGTGCTAAAGGCAGGTCAGAGGTTGGTATCCAGCCATTCTTTCTCAACCTTCCCTGAAATGCTAGTCACTTGATTTTTTTTAAAATATATATTTTATTGATTTTTTACAGAGAGGAAGGGAGAGGGATAGAGAGTTAGAAACATCGATGAGAGAGAAACATCGATCAGCTGCCTCTTGCACACTCCCCATTGGGGATGTGCCTGCAGCCAAGGTACATGCCTTTGACCGGAATCGAACCCGAGACCCCTGAGTCCGCAGGCGGACGCTCTATCCACTGAGCCAAACCGGTTAGGGCTAGTCACTTGATTTTTAAGTGTTAATGCTTTTGTCTGCCTGAAGCCTGTTGCAAAGGCTCCCATCATTCTCGGGCAGTGGTTCTCAAACTTCCTAATGCCGTGACCCTTTAATACAGTTCCTCATGTTGTGGTGACCCCCAATTTCATTGTTACAAATTGAACATAATTAAAGCATAGTGATTAATCACAAAAACAATATGTAATTATATTTGTGTTTTCCAATGGTCTTAGGCGACCCCTGTGAAAGGGTCGTTCGACCCCCAAAGGGGTCGCAACCCACAGGTTGAGAACTGCTGTTCTAGATACTAGTCCTTTGTTAGACATGTAACAAAGGTCTAGTATCTATTGTAAATATTTTCTTTCAGCCTATAGGTTGATTTTCATCCTCTTAACTGGGGACTTTCATGCTAAATATTCCTCTTTAACAAACGAAATATGTTAATATTTACTTTTGAGCTAGCTTCCCATGTCCTCTCATGTATTCCCCTGCCACAGAGAAGATGAATGCTCCAGGGCATCTAAAATTATTTTTAATTCACCGATGTAAAATGTAACCTAGACATAATAGGAGGATGAAATACAAAATTAAAAATTATTTTACCGCTGTTCTAGGGGTTAGCTCATTCTGTTTTAGGTAGATATACTAGCTCTTTGAAGCGGTGTCTGAGTTTGCACACCTTGGCTTTCCCCTCAGGGCTGGGCCCGAATCACAATAGAGGTTCACTTAGTGTTGAGTTGTCTCCAGTGGAATTAAGAGGACAAGGGCTCTCCACCCCGACCTCTCCACCCGAGTTTGCTAATCCTGGGAGTGGGGTGCCCCTGCCCAGACCCGGCCAGGGTAGACTGGCTGAAGAAGCTGTGTGGTGCTTTGATTTTCCCCAGTTCAGTCCTTTATTTCTAAGCTTCTCCAGGCATCTTCTCTCCTTTCATTTTTAATAAACGTTCATCCTCTTAAACTGCCCTTGCTACTTCTTCATGTCTGGTCTAACCTGCTTTGCTTGCTCACAAAGGAACTCTGTCCCTCATCACTCTTTTCCACTTTACTATTCCCATCTATCTTTCAGAATACATATATTTTTCTTTCTCAGCCCCCTTTCCTTGGTCAGCCTCAGAAATGGAGAATGGCACAGCCTGCAGAAAATGTTTTAAAAAGGTGGGGGGGGGGGGGGGGTATGGAATGATAACTCATGATGGTTATTTTTAAACCAGATGAAAGCCTTTTGCCCTTGTTTTCATTCTATTCTGAAGGATTTCAGAGTAAATCCTTATCCTGTCATATAGGAGTAACTGAGTTAGATGGCCGCTATCTAATCTAAATGTTTTATTCAAACATTTATAACTGTTTTGATTTAAGAAAACATAAACTGACACAAAGTTTTGTTTTAGCCAAGGTTTGGGAGAAGTTTTAAACTGTAATATGTATACTTTGATAAATTTAATAGACTAGAGCTATGGGTTACAATATAGCTTGGTATTCGAACATTAATCTATTTTAATCCTAGTTATAACTCCAACGCAGGCTGGATTTACTAACCAGCTTGTTCAACTAGCTAAAACTGTAGATACCATCCACAACGCTGTTTTTTAAACACAACAGAAATCATAAATAGAAATTCAAAAGGATCGCTTGATTTTGCAAGACAAGATTTGATGCTGTGAAGAAACCTTCTCAGAAATTCGCCAGAGACCGTGTGGGTCTTAAAATATCCTCCGTATCCTACCAGCCAGATTTGGCAGCTTGAGAACTAGTCATTGCAAATAATGACAAATATTTACCAACTCACAAAATGTTGCTATTTGTTTTGGCTTCAATTTTATGTTTTTTTAACTAGGAAATTTAGTATACTAATATTATGGCCACTCAGCAAATCTCAGGGAAGAATTACTCCCTTATTGAGCATTTTAGCACATAGGTTTTGAATACTGGCTATATGCAAGTACTACATACAGTGAATGTTTCTGGTGATAAAAAAGTGAATTAAATTTGATGTTTGACCACAAGACATGGAAGAACTGACATTATACAGTGAGTGCCATAGAAAACTTGCTGAAATTCTCTGAGGAATGAGAGCTCACGTGGGATTTGCTATGTCATTCAGAGAAGGCTTTATAAAGAAAGTGGAAAGAAGAGCTTTGATGACCAGCTAGACGCCAATATGTGGAGTTGGGGGGAGTAGGAAGAAATTCTAGATGAATGAGAAACATTATTAACAAAGTCTCAGAAACAGTATAATATGGAGTATAGTTGGGTTTTAGTTTTATGTAAATGAAAGGGTACAGTTGGAGATAAAGCTAAATTCCATGGGTGTGAAATCCCAGATTAAACCTGGGTAGGTGGTGGAGAATATTTTATGAATTATTCCACTCTTTAAACAACTTCAGAGCTGTGTTTCAGGGTAATTAATCTGCCTTCAGTGTGTAAGCTTGATTGTGGAGGAAGAGAAGTTGGAGTTTGGAAGAGCAGCTGAGAGGTTATTACAATGGTCTAGTACCAAGAGTTAGTAAGAGCTGCTCTGGGCTGGGAAGAGTAGGTTGGAATGGAGGGGTAGAATTGAGAGAGCGTGTAGTGAGAATTTCTGGGATTTACAACCTGATTGGAAGATGTGAGGAAGAAGAAAGGGATAAGTTAAAAATGACTGTAAGGAGTCAAGCCTGAGAACTGACACCATTAAAAAAGTTAAGTAGTGCTGGTAGGAGGTGAGTTCAGCTTTGCTAGTGGTGCATGAATGTGTATGTGCTCCCCACTGGGGAGTTGGAAATGTGGAACTGAAACCCAGGCTATGGTTTGAAATAGAGACTTGGGAATCATTAGCATAGAGGAAATGGTAGAAGGTGTAGGAGCAGATATGAATGCCAAGGGAGAGTATAAAGAGAAGATGGCCAAGGACAGGGCCCTTAGGGAATGGTGGTCTACTTTTAAATGAGGGAAGATGATCCAAAATTGGAATAGTGAGGTCAGGGAAGAGCCAGAAGACTTGGGATCATAAAAACCTAGACAAGAGTTTCAAGAAAGGCGGGGTCAGTAATATCCATGGAAATAGAGAAGTAAGGAAGATGAGAATTGAGAAATTGAATGTTGGAGTTTAAGAGTTCTTTGGTGACTTTCACAAGAGTGGGGCTTATTCTTCTTTTAAGTCTAGGGTTTGTTTTATTAAGTATTCTGGATTTTTCCATTTCTGTAAAATAACACAGATAATGAGGATAGTGTGTGTGCGTGTGTGTGACAGAGAGACTTAGGATATCACCAGGGAACTATTTTATATGATAAGTAGTAAAATTATTGAAGTAATATATACGTTGAGCTTACATTTCATTAATAATAAAAACACTAATTCAGCCAAAAAAGGAAATCTCCAGGATTTGACTGTAGTCAATAATAAACCTTCTACCCAAATTATGCCAATTAAAAAGCTATTCTTCTGCCCCATTTCATTGTATGAAGCAACAAAAATTTACAAACAGTGGTTGAATTGATGAGCATACCCCTAAACATGGTGAGATTATTATCTTTTTCCCTTCCTTTCAGAATAAACGACGGAGCTATGATAGCGACTGGTGGAGTGATAACCGGCCTGGCCGCCTTGAAAAGGCAAGACTCTGCCCGATCACAGCACCATGTCAGCCTCAGCCCCTCACCTGCTGCCCAAGAGAAGAAACCAGTCAGGCGTCGGCCAAGGGCTGATGTCGTGGTTGTTCGAGGCAAAATCCGGCTTTATTCCCCCTCCGGTTTCTTCCTCATTTTAGGAGTGCTTATCTCCATTGTTGGAATTGCAATGGCAGTCCTTGGATATTGGCCCCAAAAAGAACATTTTATTGACGCTGAGACCACATTGTCCACAAACGCAACTCAGGTCATTCGGAACCAAAGTGGCGTGGTGGTTCGCTTCTTTGAGCAGCATTTACATTCTGATAAGATGAAAATGCTTGGCCCCTTCACCATGGGGATTGGCATTTTCATTTTCATTTGTGCTAATGCCATTCTTCATGAGAACCGTGACAAAGAAACCAAAATCATACACATGAGGGACATCTATTCCACAGTCATCGACATCCACACGCTAAGAATCAAGGAGCAAAAGCATATGAATGGCATCTACACGGGTCTGATAGGAGAAACGGAAGTAAAACAGAATGGGAGCTCCTGTGCCTCGAGACTGGCAGCGAATACCATTTCCTCTTTCTCGGGTTTTAGGAGCAGTTTTCGGATGGACAGCTCTGTCGAAGAGGATGAGCTTGCGCTAAATGAAAATAAGAGTTTGGGGCATCTTATGCCACCTTTGCTCTCTGACAGCTCTGTCTCTGTCTTTGGCCTGTATCCATCTCCTTCCAAGACAACTGATGATAAGACGGGTGGCTCTAAGAAATGTGAAACCAAGTCAATTGTGTCGTCATCCATCAGTGCTTTTACATTGCCTGTGATCAAACTTAATAACTGTGTTATTGATGAGCCCAGTATAGATAACATCACCGAGGATGCTGAGAACCTCAAAAGTCGGTCGAGGAATCTGTCTATGGATTCCCTTGTGGTCCCTTTGCCCAACACCAATGAGTCCTTCCAGCCAGTCAGCATGATGCTCCCTCGGAATAATTCCATTGGGGAGTCATTGTCTAGTCAGTACAAGTCCTCTGTGGCCCTTGGACCTGGGGCTGGACAGCTCTTGTCTCCTGGGGCTGCTAGAAGACAGTTTGGGTCCAACACATCTTTGCATGTGCTCTCATCACATTCAAAATCCTTAGACTTAGACCGAGGTCGCTCCACCCTAACTGTTCAGGCAGAACAGCGGAAACATCCAAGTTGGCCTCGGTTGGATCGAAGCAACAGCAAAGGATATATGAAACTGGAGAACAAAGAGGACCCGATGGAGAGGTTGCTTGTGCCCCCAACTGCAATCAAAAAAGACTTTACCAATAAGGAGAAGCTGCTTATGATCTCAAGATCTCACAATAACTTGAGTTTTGAACATGATGAGTTTTTGAGTAACAACCTAAAGCGGGGAACTTCTGAAACAAGGTTTTAATGTTAAAAAATATATAATTTTACAAGGCTGTATATTTTAAAACTATTTTCATCAGTGTTTCCTTGTTAAAGCTTTGGTGATAAGCATTTTTAATCAAATGGTTCATAGTGTATTTGACCTGGCTGCTTAATTCTGCAATGGAGATAGTTACATGTTTGGGTTACTAAGATTGTAGTACTCTATGTTATCATATATGATTTTATTTTTTCCATTCCTTTGAAAGCATGATCTGAATTAAAGTTTATTTTCTTTACTTTCATGTTCTCGTTGATGGTCATATTCATAGAATAAAGTGTCCAGTTTGGAAAAGGTAGGGAACCAAAGTGTGGGCTAGAAGTACCAATTTCAGGCCCAAACCTCAATATAGTATACTTGTAAATGAGTAGGAGTGCAAATCTTAGGTGTGCTTTTCTGAATAATTGCTTTTATGCAGGATTGATTAGACTATTTAAAAGGAAAAAGGTCCAGCTTCTGTGAGAGCCAAATGATATGAATTGTTTTAATTCTGTGTGAGCTAATGGATATGAATTGGTTAAGTTGGTAGGTAGGTATTTTTTCAACATCAGTTCTATTTTAGTGATATTTTATCAAGAAACCATGTATTCAAGAGCCATGGCTGAGAATGTGAGATAGTTTTAGTGGTAGATGATAGAAAATGTTACTAGCTATATCTTTAGATATCCAGAATTGAAATTTCTTTGCAACCGACTTGAAAAATGAATGGACCAATTAAGTTTTTAGTAATGCTACCTTAAAATAATAATATACATGAAGAGAATGTTGAGTAATGAATGAAAATATATTATATGCTAGTTAATGTTAACTAGTCTCAGTACCTTTTACTAATCATCTCTATTATCATCTAGTATCCACTCATTCTCACATCCTTATTTCTCCCCAATATTTTTTAGATCCTATTATTTGGAAAAAAATCAGCTAACCTTGACATTTATTTTTATCTTCACATATCACTAGCTTGGTGGTTTAAGAAAATTCAGTCCTTGATAAATTGCCTTGAAATTTATCTTGTGCTGGAAAGCCTTATGATGACTCCAAAGACTCTCTTATGGTATAATACATTTTGGGGATTGTGGTTCTCAGTTATCGAAGATAATAAATATTAAAATGGGTGTTTCCACCAGAAAATTTTCATGTTTTCCATTAAAGTAATATATAATTTTAAGAATTGGTTAGTGGAAGACTCAGGAAACTTGACAGGTTTTCCCCAATGCCTAAACATTTCTGAATATCAGATTTGCAGTTGTTGTGGAAGAAGAGAAGATATCTTTGCAGGTTCCCGCAGTTTCATCATGAACTTGAAGTACAGTATTGTTAGAACATCAAACCTGTGTATTGTAATAGAGTGGGCTCGATATTTTACTATAAAACATTTAATAAACTTCTGTTCTTAATAGAAATTTGTGTTCTTCATACATTTGCTCTAATTTTTTAAATAAAATAAATTTCTGTTTAAAGTATTGTTTTTCAAAATTTCAGACATATTCTACAGAAGGTTGTTGATACTTTTGTGCATGTATTGGTTGCTGTGGCTTTTTTATTTTGCCTCTGTTAGATTAGAGAGCCTAGTTCCATTCGCCTATTTAATTAGGCTGTTTTCGTATTTTGTTCCCTTGGTGTGATGGTTAATTTTCTGTGTCATCTTGACTGAGCTAAGGGATGCCCACATTGCGAGTTGTGTTTTCCGGAAGAGACTAGCATTTGAATCAGTGAATGAGTAAAGAAGATTGTCCTTACCAATTCCAGTCAACATCATACAATCTGTTGAGGGACTGAATAGAACAAAAAGGGAGAAAAAGGGTAAATTTATGCATGACCTGGGACATGCATCTACTCCTGCCCTTGGACTCAGGTGTACACCATTGGCTCCCCTGGTTCTCAGACCTTCAGGTTTGGATTGGAATTATACGCCTGCTTTCCTGGGCTTCCAGCTTTTAGATGGCAGGTTGTGGAACCTCTTGGCCTCCACAATCACATGAGCCAATCTCTTATAATAATTATCTATCTATCTATCTATCTATCTATCTATCTATCTATCTATCATCTATTCTCTTTCTATCTATATCAGTTTCTCTGGACAATCCTAACTAATACACTTAGGATCATTTTCACTTAAAATTTCATCAACTCTCAGAAAAATAACCAGATATATATTACAGTATCTACCAAATGTCAGTGATACAGATTTCAAAACAATGGCTCTCAACACCCCTGATGTGACAAATGACTAAAGCCATATAATTTTCTCAGTTCATCCCTGAAAGAGCTTTAAGAATTTGAAGAGGATTAAACAGCTTGGGTCTTAGAGGATCCAAATAAAAGAATTGGGGCTTAAAGCAGTGATTCCTGTTCAATCTCTCTCCATCAACAAACCGGAGTCCTTTACCAAACAAATCGAGTTTATTAAATGATAAGTAACCCCATTTTAAATTAATGAAAGGAACATGCTATAAGTAAAGCTTCAGATGAAAATGATAACATTAGTGTTACTGTATTGGAATTTTAATTAGACTATTTTGTACATTTCCCTTAGGCTTTTATAAATAGTGAAAATTGTTCAGAAACCCCATTTCTTCTTGTGGGAAACCTCAGGAATTTGAATCATGGGCTGACTTTGGCCAGGCCAAAGAGTTTCTAAAGCTTGTGGCCTATCTTGGGCTGTGTTGGTTTGTTAGGGCTACCATAACAAAATACCACAGGCTGGGTGGCTTAAACAATAGAAATTTATTTTCTTACAGATCTGCAGGCTAGATTCTAAGATCAAGGTGTTTGATTTCTCCTGAGGCCTCTCTTAGGCTTGTGGATGGCTATCTTCTGTGATCCCACATAGCTTTCCCTTTGTGCATCAGTTTCTCTGGTGTCTCCTTCCTTCTTATGAGGACACCAGTCATGTTAGAATAGGGCCACATCCTATAGGCTTCTTTTCACCTTAATCACCATTTTTAAAGACCCTACCTATCTCCAAATATATTATATTCTGAGGTACAGGGGTTAAGACTTCAACATAGGCATTTGTGGGGATACAATTCAGTCCATAACATGAGGTGTGCCATTGAGAAGTGGCAGAGCTGAGTGAGTGTTCTGAGTCTGCAGTTGGTGAGAAGAGCACAATATGCCCCAATGGCTTTACTACTTCCACTGTGTAGCCTTGAGTAAATCACGTAATCTCTCAATTTTAATTTATTCCATTTCAATTAATTTCTTAATTTCAAGCCTTTAGATTCTTCGACCATGAAATTAGATGAGTAAGAACATAAACTATAAAGTGCTACCTCTAAGGGTGAAGGGCTCTTGGTGCCCTGGGATGAAGATCGCTTTGCCTGTCACTATCCCTGCAGCAGTTTGTTTTTCAAATGAGGGGCAGAAGCTATGGTAGAGTAGACTGGTTAGACTCATGGATGTTGGAGCCAGAGGACCAGGATTTGCACCGGACTCCTACTTTCTGGTCATGGGCCTTGGCTGCTGACCCATCAGAGGTGCTGAGAACTACTGAGGCAAGACCACTGGTGTGTAGCAATGGAGTACCAATCCCACTCCTCAGCTGATATACATTAAATGAGTTTATGCTCTTAGTGCGCATTCAACATATATATATGTAATATTACTATCTGAAAGTATCATCTAAGAACTTTCCAATCTTCACCTTGTCCCCATCCCAAACCCAAGTATATCCCCCATGGTAGCGTGAGTAAAGGCCTCCAAAAACGCCCATGTCCACAATCTGGAACCTGTGAATGTTACTCATGTGGCAAAATGAACTCCCAACTCTAAATTAAGGATCCTGAGATAGGAGAGATTATCCTGGATTATTCAAGTGGGCTCAATGAAATCACAAGGAAGCAGGGGAAGATATGACTACAGAGAAGATGATGTGGCCAGAGTAGAGGAAGAATGGATGATGCTAAGATCCTGGCCCTGAAAATGGAGGGAGGAGCCATGAGCCAAGAAATATAAGGAGCAAAGGTCTAGTTGCAAGGAATGGATTCTTCCCTCAGAGCCTCAACAGGAACTAGTCCTGCTGACACCTTGACCTTTGCTCTGTGAAACTGATTTTGGACTTCTGGCCTCCAGAACTGTAAGAAAATATATGTGTTATTTTAGTCCACTAAGTTTGTGTAATTTGTTACAGCAGCCATAGGGAACTAATACATTCCCCCAAACCAAAGTGGCTTTTTCAGAGCAGTGAGCCAGTTCTCAGCAGACTTATAAGCAAGATGAAAGGCATTCATACCAGCTAATGGCAGGTGGCTCAAAGCAAGATGTATGATTCACTTACATTAACTTTAGTACTGATAATGTAAGCGTAATAATTTAAACAAAGAAGGTAGAGCTTCTTTGAAGCAGGAAATAATTTATTTCGATAGATAATAAAAAATATAAAAGCCCACAGTTGGTTTAAGAGTAGCCATCATACTTGTATGCATGCATATGAGCATAAACAATGGACACAGACAGTGGTGGAGGGCATGTTCCAGTGTGGGGCGGGGCAGGGAGAGGTCAATGGGGGAAAAAGACTTACGTAATACTTTAAACAATAAAGAATTTAAATTTTAAAAAAAAGTAGCAATCAGTTGTAAAAGCTTTCAGGCTCAAATGAATGTTCCTAGCTATATAATTTTAGAAGACACAGTGGTAATATAAGTTAAACATTTTTTATATCAAAATGGATATTACATTAGCATTTAATAATTTGCTAAATAAAGATTAATTTTTAATTATTTTAGCAGTTCAAATTTAACCCCCCCTTTTTTTCATTGATTTCAGAGAGGAAGGGAGAGATAGAAACATCAATGATGAGAAGAATCATTGATCGACTCCTGCACACCCCATACAAGGATAGAGCCCGCAACCCGAGCATGTGCCCTGACGAGGAATCCAACTGTGACCTCCTGGTTCATAGATCGATGCTCAATCACTGAGCCATGCTGGCTGGGCCAAATTTAACCATTTTCATGCTTACTGAAACACACCATGAATGACTAAAATAGGCTAAGTAAACAGTTAAAATTTGTCAGTTTATCAAAACTTTAACTATAGTGCCCTGCATACTAAAGCTGTGGCCATCCCAGTGATATTTTTCTACAGCTGTGGTATTCAGATTGTTCAATGATCTTAACCACTTGTTCTTTAAGTAAGAACCAGATATGGATTATTCTGACTCTTACTTTCAATGAATTGCTCTGTTACCCTCTTCCCATCCTATATGCAATCCTACTTTAGACTCTATATCAATAATAGGGTATATAACCTTGATATTGGATCACCTCCCTTTTTAATGATGATCTAAGTCCTCTGTGATTGGAATTCAAACTGAAGTAATTCTATTGGCTTCTCTCTATATTCTGTTTCTCTCAGGATTGTGCCACAAGGGAAAAAAGGCCAACTTTATCGAGGTGCCTTTTACTCATTAATGCCATCTTGAGGTAGTAACTTAAAATTCAGGCCTGCCCCAAAACAGCTCATTAAAGTGAGCGAAAGAAGTAATTCAACCTTTATATGTCAGCAGGTCAATTCCTATTCTTGAAACACATCTTTGGTATATTTCTTCTTTTGCTAACAGGTGTTTGAGAAAATAAGTGTTATATAGGATACAGGAAATCTCTACACATAGGATTTTGCCATTCTCACAGCATCAAGTTGGTTTTTCACTATACTGCATAATCTTAAATTTCATGTATTCCCTTACTACTTTTCTTTACTACCGATTGGTGCAGTAGTAGTTTTATTATAGAAATGATTGAGGTAATGATTTATTTTTGTCTCTTCTCCTACAAATTTACCATTTAACATATTGAGATTTCTAATAAATCTCTAAGTCTTTCCATTCATCAAATGGTATAGATTGTATCTCCAGGAATATGTGTACTCTACAAATTAAATTTAGAGATTTTGTTAGTAGTGCAATTGTTTATAATCTAGACAAAACCACAGTATTTGTGGTATAAAAGATTGGACACTTGCTAATAGAAACATAAAAATATAGAATTTAGAAGCAATAAGGACATTGCAGTTGACACCTAGTGGAACACACAAGGTAGTGACAGAATCAGCACCTGAATGCAGGACTGTTGATTCTCAGTATCAACATCAATGAAAACCAAACCAGGTTTTTTAAAAGGGGTTTATAAAAATATGTTGAAAATCTAATGAATAAATTTGACTTTATTAGGACTGGTACAGAGAAAAGTATCTAAGGATATATCCCATACAAGGATAGAGCCCGCAATTTCAGGTGGAAAACATAGTGTTGAAATTTTCATCACATCTTGGAAGTGTGTGGGGGTGGCTGGGAAGGAGATGATATACTAGGAGCTGACATTAGAGATGTTGCATAGTCTGAAATGGGAA